AAATTTTATTTCAATTCCAAACAAAAAATAATTAGGTTCGGATTACCATAAATATGTTGATTATTTATGGTCATGTTACATGTATTAATTTTATTTTAATATCATTCTTTATTATAACAATTGAATTGTATATATATTTTAAAAGTTAATAACTTTTATATTTTTTATCAGTTTTACATGTGTAATATATCAAATTAATCTTCTTTTGATGAGTTTCGATTTAACATCCATATTGTATGTATAAAAAAATAATTTATATTTATCTTTATAACAATAACAAAATTATTTTTAATATTAATTAGAGGAATAAAATTATTTATCAACTAGTAAATTTATATTTCAAGTAGTTATATGATATAAGTTATAAAAACTAATATAATATAACACATGTAAGTCATAAGTAACACATCATTCTAAAATATATAGTATTTTTTTTTTTATTTTGTAAAAAAGTAAACTAAATTTAATATAGTTTTCTCATTAATTTTAAAATTTAAGAATAATTTTCTAACAATCACCCGTATAATACACGGGTATTGTACTAGTATGGGAATATTATTTAATTTTATTTTATCATGGATATGTTTCCACATGCAACAAGGTACAAATAGCATGTTGCAACTTTAGAAACCTTGCATCTCCTCATTCAAATCTCAAAGATATTGATTCCACATGCAAACAAATTTCAAATAGCATTTTGCAACTTTAGAAACCTTGCATCTCCTCATTTCCATCAGCTCTTAGGTCATTTAATACCACCAAACTTTCAGACCGATCAATCGAATGATTGAGGTTTTCGGGCTGTTCAAACTATAGATCCTCATGAGCTCTTAAACACAATCAGAGGTAAATGGATAGCTAATTGTTATGTAATTTATTAAAAGTCGCTATGCGTGATGTTAGAAGAAGCTATACGAAACATCAGTTAAAATTGATCGACGATCAAAGAGATACCTAAACATGCTAAAAGTTTAGTTCGATAATGATTGCTTGTGTCAACATTCTTATATGTGTGTGTATTTTATTTGATTTTTCTGTTGGCATGCTTAACTATAAATGTTGACTCCACATAAATTGAATTGTCTTTAATTCAGTTACATCGAACATGATTTAAGCTCAATGACTAGAATTATTGAAATTTTAAAAAGTATGTATAATAATATGTCAAGTTAAGACTTGTTCACTTAAAAATTCTGGCATATTTAACTTATACTTTTTAGAACTTTTAAAAGTCTCTGTGTATTTATTTGAAAATAAAAATAAAAATTGAGACTGATATTTGTTATGACTTTTATAAAATTTGAGATTTCAAAAGAAAAAAACATATGTAGCATCATAACCAATTCTCACCTCCAAAATTTTTTCCTAAATTTAGAGATTTCAAGAAGCCTTAAATTTAAAAAAAAAAAAAAATGTCACTCAAAATTTTAAACTGAGTAAATGACAACAATAAAATATAGGAAGATTTTATGGTCCGTTCGATCAACCATTCACGACAGTTATATGATGATCTAATGATTATAAATTCTGATCGAATGGTCCCGGAACAATAGCATTTCCCTAAAATATAAACGGTTAAAATAAAAATCATACACCACAAACAAGAATCCGAGTATCCGACAAACATGAAGGGCTGCCTTTCTCCGAACCAAGAAAAAGAGAATCATTTATTTATTTAAAAAAACAAAAAAATGAGTGGAATAAAATAAAACAAAAAAAAAAATTGTGGAAAAAAATCAAACGGACGGATTCTCACAATCCGTGTTTAACAGAAACACGGATTCTGCGAATCCGTGTAACTGTAATTTTAGAACGAACACGGATCACCAAAATCCGTGTTCCCTTAATTACGAAAGAAACACGGATCACCAAAGTCCGTGTTAACTTAATCTCGTAATTAAGCTAATTAATTAAACAGCACACGGATTATGGAAATACGTGTTTAGGTGAACACGTATTGTAGGAATCCGTGTTACATGAACACGGATCCCTACAATCCGTGTTTAAGTATTTATTCATTTTTTTTTAAAAATATTT